ACCATTCAATGAAGTAGCTAAAGAGAAAGAAAATCCATTACGTATAAGATTTCAAATCTCTGAACCAAGTGATGATTTCAAGAATGTTTTCAATTATGATGCAATGCTTCCGAGGAAAAATGAATTTTCAAAGATTGTAACACCTGGCATTTGGGATAGAAAGCAAGCTATATTATATTCAAACTTAAGTAAGGGAGTTGAAAATGAGTTCATTGGTCATACAAGAACTACACCACTTCCTAACCCTAAATACTATAAATTAACTGGCTTCAATCGTGAGTTTTGGATAGACATGTTCTCCACTCATGACCATAACTGCCCAGTGTTCTTACCTCCAGACCATAAGGACTGTCTCTACATTGAAGCACAACTCTTAAACTCTACCATCGCAGTATTGTAAATGACCACATGGGCTTCGCCCTTGCCGCTAGCGGCTTATTTTTATCATGAATGACCTCATTGCTGACAAAAATAAATGACCTCATTCATGACCTCATTGCTGACCTCATTCATGACCTCATTGCTGACAAAAATAAATGACCTCAGAACTTCAACTTACGAATAAAGCTTGTTTTAGTCGTTATTGAGAAGTTAAACTTTTCAGCAAAGCAAGGACTAGAAGACTTACATAAGTCAAATCCAATCTCTTGACCGTCATAAAGTGCTTTATAAAGTTTCATGACACTGAACTCAGAGTCTTTGTCAAATTTTCCTTGCGGAACCATTAAACCTTTATCTTCATTGTAATAGCATTGTATAGCTTCAGGAAACATTTCATTAGCGGTTAAAGCAATAACATCTTGCTTCACGCCTTTCATTCTGCAGTGAAATGCAACTTCATTTAAATCGTTAGTGAGTAAGTCTATGTAAGTCTTCTTTCCACAAAATATTGACTTGTATGCTAAACTTTGTTTTCCAGGTGTTATTTCTGCGAAGTCACTATGAAACTGACCAAGGTTTTTACCAATAAGTTCTCTACCGTATCTCTTCTTAAATTCATGAGCTAAACGTGGTATGTCTTCATTGTAAATGTGCATCGAATCTGTATCCTGATAAAATGCTTTTAATCCTAAGTCTTCAATCGTGCAAAACACTTCATTCATAATACGTTTTGACATAGACAGAATGTTAACACCAAGTGGACAGAAGTTAAAGTGTCTGCAAATGCTTTTCGTTAGCTTGAAAATAGTTTTATCTGAACCATCCAAACCTTCGAACTTCACTATATGGTTGTAGTTTCTGATGGCATATCTTATAGCATCTTTGTCATCTACTATGGTTATTTTTGACTCAATAGGAGATAGAATAGTTTTGCCATAAATACTGTTCAGAATGAGCTTTATATTTTCTTGCAAAGGATTTCCTTCTTTCTTATACTTTAACCTTAACTCAAACAACTTCTTTACTTCATCTCTTATTCTAATATCTCTGTTTCCATCGTATAGTATCCTTGCAACACTTCACATTTGACACCTTGATATTTTATGAGGTCTTGTAATGTTATATGGTCAACATACATTAAACAGCAAGTGTTTGAACTTCTGGGAACGTTAAGTTCTGGATTTAGTTCAGGGTCACAAACTATTAAAGGAAAGTGTCTATGTATTCCAATCTCTGTTATCTTAATGAGAACAAAGAAGCCAGACATAAACTTTTCACCAATGGGTTCCTTTTGGTCGTCATCGAATAAATGTCTCATGAGATACTCTGTGCTTAACATCTCATCCTTCAATACTTTTGGAATTCCTTCTAAAGTATAAAGTCTTGCTATAGCTGATGGATATAATGAAACAGCGTCGAAGTCAGCAATGAGTTTCTTTTTGCTCTTTTGTTTCATGTTATCTGACAACATACATCTTCCACCTTGAATGCATCTGAAATAAATTCTCTTGGTTTATTTGAGAGGTCATAAAGATTTCCATTCGGGAAGTACACTCTGTTCTCAAACAATTTGTTAGCAATAGAACAAATACTAACGTAGTCATAAACGTTTAAATCAAACTCTTTCAATAAGTCATTGCGGAACTTTACAAAACCTTCTCTTAAAATTCTTACATCTTGTTTGCAGTAAAACGTGCTATATTTTTCTAAGTCGAAGTGGTTTTCATCTATTCTGCAACCTTTGATGGAATCTATGTTCTTCATGAACGTTTCAATATCTTTTACAAACTTACATGCTTCAGAAATGACACCAGTTCTGTTGTCATTTGCTAACAAAACACTGCTGTAGTAGTTGTATGGAAATACTTCTTTCGGTCCTGTTTGTAAGTTAAACATAGCAGGAAATAGTTTAAGCTTCTTATTTATAACACTGTAAGAGTCTTTTATAATAATTGCCCTTCCTTTATATAACCAGTTATTTGCATTGTTCGTGAACCTTTAATGATGGGAGTTCCTTTCACTTCTGTCATGTGTCTTAAGATGAAGTTTATATCATAACTGAGGTTATGGAAATATATTAAACTCTTGTCAGGAAGTCGCTCCAAAAATTCTGTTGCACAGTTTTGACCCCAAATGCTTTCACTCACTGAACCATCTTCACTGTCATAACAGATGTTAAAAGCTTTATGAAAGCCATCGTACTACACTCAAAGTCAGCAAAGAAAACGTGCTCAGGAATGAACTTGCACTTATTTTTATTTACTTCTTTTGACTCTGCTTTCTTCTTCAGTTGTACACAATACTTTGGAGCATATGTCAAATCTTTAAATGGTGCAAGGTTCTGTTTATATAAGTCAGTCGTATATGTGAAAAGTTCTCCATAAGAAATAGGTTCGAAATATTTGCACTCCCACAATGTTTTCATAACATCCCATAGCGGGTGTAGTTCTATCCATGCGAACAATGTATTTATCATCTCTCATTGTATATATTTCATCTGTTTTTCAATGTTCATTCCACCACACTCCTTCAAGATTTCTATATAGTTGCGAATGAAATATGTTGTTTGGTAATCTTTCGTTTAGCATGTAGTGGTCTTCAACAAGAAGTAAGTCAATAGTTCGAACAGTTTACATTCTTTTGGTATGTATCTCTTTATTTCATTATGTCTTGAGTCATTGAAATAACCAATGGTAACATTGAATGCTATACCTGTTGTCAAAATTTCTTGTACTTTACTTTGAGGAAAGTCTCTAACACGAATGACTTCTCTCATGTGGTCAATAGTTTCTTCATTTACTCCAGCCTGAATGCAAGCATAAACGAAACAATTGTCCTCTGTCATAAGTGTTGCAGTTCTTTTGTTCAGTTCATTGAAGATTTGGTAGCGTTCAAGATTTATAGGTAATGTGCAAAGATACTTCCAGAACTGACGCTTCTCTTCTTATAAAACTTCTTTTCACCAAGGATTTCATTCCAGAAGTCATCTATATCTTGTTTATCTCCTGTTTGTTTAAGTCTGTTCAATAATCTTTTCTGTCTTTCTGTCAGTGTGCTTTCATCTCTATATGGTCTCTTTTTGGTTTGCCTTTCTTTACATCTGACATCGTTAAGCCTTCATATTCTGTTAAATCATACATCTTTATTTCAGTAAGATTCTTATGTTTGTCAAGAAGAAGTCATAGTGCATTTCAACAATACCTGCAGCATTTGCTTCTATCTCTGATATAAAGTTCTCCTTCAAGAGCTGATGTAGTAATGTTCCAATATTATTGAGGTTTAACGTAGAACATTCATACTTTCCACCAAGTTTATAACATACCATCCATCTTTGTTGGGAGTTTATTTTAATCTTCTCTAAGAGTCTCATGAAAACCTTACCGAAATGTTTGTGTAAGTAGTCTCTGTTTGGTTCATCTAAAGCTTCGATGTTAAAGTCAATGAGTCTATTGCCTGACTTCACATTTCTCTTCCTATTCTCTTCATCTTTCTTTAACCATCTCTCACCTTCTTTTGGTTTGTCGTCAATGGAACGAATGACATCGTTAGCTTTGCGAACTTGTTCTATAGCGCTCTTAAACATCTCTCTTCTCTGTTGTTTCAGTGTGTCGTCTCTCTTTCGTGTTTCACCAACGTTTGCATTTGTTATGTCAAACATCTCTTGACGAACATCATGCGAAAGAGCTTTACGAGTATGACCAACGTTTGCATTTGTTATGTCAAACATTTCTCTTCTTACTTCATGAGGTACTGAACGTCTATGATATAAGTCAATAGCAACGTCATTTAAAGGAAATGCTCTTGCATGGACTTCGTCCTCGCCGCGTTGCGGCTTTATGAACTCATGAATTCTATCATAACTTATTGCACCATTATAGTCATTGAGGATGTCAGCGAGTGCTTTTTGTTTGTTGCGTAATGCTTTGCTACTTCTATGTTAGCTTCTGTAAGAAGTTGTTTTATTTCCGAGTGTTCTAACTTAGACAACTTCCGATACATCTTTAGTAGGAAATAAAAAAATATTTTTGAAAAAATTAGATTAGATTTTTTAAAGTTATTTTTCAAAATAATTTAATATTTTTATTTTAATGAAACACATGCAAGATTGCAAGTTCTTTTCATACAATGCTCTCGCTACTGCCATCAAGAATGAGTTCAATAATGCTTCAAATGTTAATGTTATCTTTAACAAGAAGTTTGTGAAAGAATCTAAGCTTGGTCAGTATGTCAGACCATTAGCTATCGTCATTGACCGCAAACGTTATACTTCACAAGAGTTAGCAGTAGTTTTGAAACAAAAGAGTTTCTTCGTGAATGTCAAAGATACTCATTATACTGTTATAAAGAACTCTAACATTGACTTCTTCAGTATTGTTATGAATCTTTCCGAACAGAAAGAATATAAGAAGGGTGAAACAAATGTGAAATATTATCCTTCATCTCTGAAGACAATAACGAACAAAGATGTTATACAGAAATTCTTACCAAAGGTTGAAGAAGCTTCTATTGACATTGACGAAGGAAGTGAAATGGTTGAAGAAATTGACCCTGAAGTTATTTAAGCAAAAATATATTTTTGAATAACTGAAAGTGTCACCACGTCACCATGTGCTACCAGGTTAATTAACTTCTTTTAAAAATGATGACAACATGACATTTTGACAACAGTCCAGGAAATAAATTTTATCGTTAATGTTATCGTTAATGTTATCGTTAATGTTATCGTTAATGTTATCGTTAATGTTATCGTTAATGTTATCGTTAATGTTATCGTTTATGTTATCGTTTATGTTATCGTTTATGTTATCGTTTATGTTATCAGTGTCGAACATAATTGACGTAGGATTCATGACTTCTTCGTAAATGAGTGTAAATATAGCACAAAAATATATTTTAGGTGAAGAGGTGAGATCTCACCCGTTTTTTCACCTCTTTTTTCACCTCATTCTCTTTTCGTTAATGTTGTCGTGACTTCTTCGTTAATGTTGCCGTGACTTCATTCTTCCTCTTTGAAGTTATCGAAATATTCTGTTATTTTTTCCTTCAGTAATGTTAAGTCTTCTTTGAATGTAAGTATTGTGCAACCTTTGATGTCATAGTGTGTTTGAGGAAGAGTATTTTTGACAATTTCCTTTATTTGCTCATTCGGTGTCATTGAAATCGGTAAGTTTTCACGATAGAACCAGTTTCTGTCAGATTTATATATTTTAGCTAAGTCATAAAAGCTCTTGTTGTTTCTTCTGACTAAATGCAACATAACCATATCTTTATCTTCTTCTTTCTCCAATTCTTCAGTATATATCATATACCTATAACTCTTTTCCTTTCCTTTTGGTACTGAACGCGGTATTCTTTTCTGTATGCTTTTGTCTTTGGATTCAATGACTTCATCTTTTGCTTGAAGTTTCTTTTCCATCTCTCCGCGTTCTGCTTTATATAATTCATCCAACATCATGAAAATATAACAAGCATAACGAGGTGAAGCCCACATTGCTACAGCATTTACTAAAAGTCTATGAACATAATAACCTTTCAAACCAGGAGCCAAATTCTTGCGATTTTCATACGGAATCTCTTCTCTCGGTTTTCCGAGGGAAGCAATCATATGAGGAAATTCTTCTAAAAGTTCTTTTGCCTGTTGGTTTTCAAACCAATGATATGCTTGCTTTGTAGAAAGAAGAGCATTCAAAATACTTTGCATTTGGTACATGTCATCTTTGACTGAACGAATGAGACGTAACTGTTTGTTATACTGTATGTACTCGTATTCTTCATTTATAGCTTCATGGACTATAACTGTTGTTGTGTTCTCTAATGTTGACATTACTGTCTTTACATACAAAATAAAAAAATAAATAAAAATAAAACTAACTTTATTTTCTGACTTTCACAAAAGACCAAAAATAAACGCTTTACATGTATTTTTCAGCAACTTCGTCAAATAATTTTATAGCTTTATCTATCTCATCTACTTCAAACGTTTCTTTACCTTTCGTGGGAGCACCATACATTTTCTCAAAAACTTCAAGCAGTTCTGTTTCAGCAGCTCTCATATCATTAACAAACACAACCTTGACTCTATTGACTGTACTGTCATATCTTTGAGTTATATTATATGTCCTTCCTATCTTATATCTTTTTGTGTTGAAGTCCTTCGGTTTCTGAACGATGTAAAGTAAGCCTTCACTGCAACGTTCCGTATCAATGAACCATATGTTATGAAGTTATATCCCAACAACTGGGTCTAACCTAACAAAAAAACTATTGGTATAACTTTTGTCTATAAGATATGCTCTTGTTCCATGAAATGCTACTGATATCATAAGCTCGGGATTTCTTGTCAAAATTTTCTGAGTTGAAGCGTTTCTAACCAGTCGGTTTGTTTTCTTTCCAGATGGAGATATAATGTCTGACAAAGAATATTTGTTGTATTTCTTTGAGTATCTTACGTTTAAATCACCTATTCTAACCACTTTGGTGTCATTGTCTATCTTTCTAACTGTTTCAAACTCAATGTTTGTCATTACTGTCTTTACATACAAAATAAAAAAATAAATAAAAATAAAATTAGCGTTATTTTTCTAACTAATGAAATTCATTATTTTTGTGCTGAATTCAATAAAAATAATTTTTAGGTGAAGAGGTGAGATCTCACCTCTTTTTTCACCTATTTTTTCACAAGCGTTTTACATGAATTGTACGATGTATATTTGAAATCCTAAACAATTTCGTAGCTTCAATTTCTTCTTTTAGTACATCGAATGTTTTAATCATGCCGAAAGTCTCTTTATATTTCTTCTTGACGTCAGACAGAAGGAAATCTTCTGCAGTTGGATAGTTTTTGTTCAGAAATGTCAACATATCCATTTTTATCTTCTGCTGGCTTTTCTGCTTCTTCTTTAAGTCTGCATAGTCGTTTCGCATTCTTTCTATCTCTTTGATTGAGTAGTTATATTTTCTTATTGCTGCTTTACATTTTGAACATTGCGGATTCATTTTTGCGTTATACATTGAAATAAAACCAGCTAGAACAACTAAGGCGTCAATGGTTTTCTTTAACTCAAAAGCTGCTGGTTTTAACTGTTCATGCCATACCTTACCTCTTCTATCTTTATCTATTATTTCCCAAACACATTTTGCAACTAATGAAACAAAGTTATCGTATGTCTTAAACTCCACCGATTTATATATGTCAGAAATATTTTTATAAACCATGTCGCAATCTTTGTCCATAACTTTATGGTTGCAATGATATCCTAGAAATCATAATTTACTTTACGTATGAATTTCTTTATTTCTACTGAGTCAGTTGGTTTCACTTCTATTTCGTCGAATTCAGGAATAGTTAGTTTTTGCTGTTGGATTTCAGGCAATTTGGGTAAATGGTCAATAATGTCCTGCATTTTCATAAAGATACTGTTCATTTTTTCATCTTTTCGCACTACAGTCTAAATTACTTGTTAACAGTTCTTGCTTTATCTTCTGGATTTTTGTTTCGAAAGTATATGAAGAAGGAATGAAGTTTTTCATTTCTAGTAACATTGACGTAGGATTCATGACTAACGAGTTTGGTGCTGTAGTTGTGGACAGAGTCCCGCCGTTCGTGGTTTGAATTGTTGTTGTGCCGATTGTTGAAATCATATCTTTACATACAAAATAAAAAAAATAAATAAAAATAAAACTAACTTTATTTTTTCTATCTTAAGGAAATTCATGAAAATTCGTGAGGGTGAAAAAAGAGGTGAAAAAACGGGTGAGATCTCACCTCTTCACCTAAAATATATTTTTGGTGTAAATTTATGACAAAAATAAATGGTACCATTAATGATATCATGACTGTTCTCGTTCATGTCTGATTTACATCTAATGAAAAAGTTTAGAAGAATTTTCTTATTCTTTCTGGTATATTTTTGTCTTTCCAGTACTCCCGCTCTAATGGTCCCAGATGTGTTGGCTTTGACTCTCTCAAGTTCTTAGATGGTATAACATCTTCAACGCCTCCTTCATATCTTACTTTATAAGTGTCATCGTTTATGTTATAGCCAAGTATTTCAATAACCACTCCTCGCTTTGCTTCGTCAATGGTTTCAGCAAGTTTGCCATTACTACTTTCAACTAATTTGTGACGAGGGTAAAACGCAATAGAGTCGTCAGCAGCTTTTATAAGATATCCATTACCTTGCGTAGAGTCTACGATATAATAGTTTCTACTTAACCTTAAACGTTTCTTTGTCAACGGTTTGTCGTCAAGAACTACACGAACTTTTGTACCAGGAATGAGGGTAAATTGTGTTGAATTTCTGATATTTTGTGTTTGGCTTCGTTTCTTTTGTATATACTTTTCTTCTTGTTGTTGTGTCATTGAATTTGGTGTATGTCCTGTTGTAAAATGTGTTGAGGAATTATATACTTCGAGAAAATGTTTCATTGTTTCTTCGGTAAAGTCTCGCTCTTGATTTAAATCTCTGAGCGTTCTTATGAAGCGATTAATGATACCGAGTATGTTATGGTTATGGTCTTCAGAGTGTGTAGTGAGTTATGTTATGCTTAATGAGAAAATCTGTGATTTCATTGCTGAGGTATGCACTGTCTTGGTCTGATGTTAAAGTACTTGGGCTATGTTCTGCTACAAACTTTTGTAAAACTCTTAACACTTCACGAGTTCCTTTATTCCTCATTGGATATGCATATGCTTTGCGAGTGTTAACATTTATGAAGATGAGGAATGGGTTATGTCCTCCTTTTCTGCTTTGAATGAGAGTGTCAAATTGGTATGCGTCAGGAGTGTTGGAGTAAATTGGTAAAAAGTAGTCGTAAGGGTTTATTTTTGTTTGATGTACAACATTTTTGTCAAAGAACCTTTTCACTTCAGCTCTGTTAGTAAATCCCCAACTCTTTGCAGCTTCATTGAACTTCTTAAATGACCTCCATGGATGTTGTTCGAATACTTCTTTCAAGCTCATTTATGTAAAGTTAAAGATTTTATTCAAGGCTCAAGCGCGTTCATTGAACTCTATACCATGCGAATACAGTCACAAATGGTGGCATATAATCTTCACCCGAGCCTGTTGGATTTGTTGTGAAAGTGTGTGAATGATTTCCTGTTGTGTTTGTCGCTCCTGTATGAGTGTGCGCGGGTAAGTTTGCTTCAGTAATTTTCTTCGAACCTCCTGTTTGCTTTGAAGAGTTAGCACAGTATAAGAATTTGTCTACAATCTGCTGCCACGTACCGAAACCCAGAACTGTTACTGGATTTGTTGAGTTCATTGACGTATATAAAGAACCAACAGGATATAATGTTTGAAGTATTTCAGTCTTTAATGTTTGAAGCTCTGTTTTGTCTGCTTTCTTATCTAACATTGTTGGTAGTTCATATGCTTCAAAGTTTCTGGCATGATCTTCGATATTCCTGCAACTGTTATCTAAATTGTTAAGAGTATCTTTTACGCTTGTACTTGGATTTTCTAATGGTGCATTTGAACCAAGGTCAAAGTTCAATATTATGTCGTCTGCTCTAACAGTAGTGAAGGATTTATGTGTATGGTTCTTGTCAGCTTTACTGTCTAACATTGCTGGTAGTTCATTTATATCGGAGATGTTGTGTTTATGAGATTTCAAAACTTTGTTCATTGCTTCGAGTTCAACTTTGTCAGCTTTACTTTTAATAGCATCTTCAAACGTTATTTTTGACTTAACTCTCAAAGTAAATCTTGGTTCAACTAATACACCGTTAACATTGAAAGTAGAGGCATAAATTTCACCGGTATAACCAAATGCTTCTGGTGCTTTAGCTACATCATACTGTACAGTACAGCTTATGTCATAACCTTTAGCACGAATGTATTTATATCTTCTTTCATTAACATTTTTTGTCTTCGCTTCATCACTTCGTGTTAAATATCCATGGTAGTCCGTTATAATCTGTTCGTCTGAAGTTATATAATGAACGTGGTTCTTGACTTTATCACTCAGAGCTAAAAGCTCATTTTTGTTTGCTTTTTCGGCTAATTTCTCATTAACATCATTCACTTCTAATTCAACTCTTCCGCCAGAACTCTTATTATCATTAATCTTTTTCATTAATTCGGTAATTACGTCATAAAGACTATATTCTGTTTTCGGTTTTGTAAATAATGAGTCAAAATTTCTTTTCATCATTACATCGCTGACATTAATGATATCACCAATTCCTTTTTCATTTATTCTCTTCATTAATTCTGCAATAATGACGAATATATAATCTGTTAATTTATTCTCTTCATCGAGGGTTATAGAATGTTTTGAAATTGAATCATTAACTCCTCTAAATAAATCAATAACTTCAGGATACACGTTTTTAATGTCTCGAATAACCCGACCAGTATCCTGTTGTTCATGTTCTTCGTTCCCGTCGTTACGTGGTTTTATATCTCTAACCATCATCAACGCAGCCATAACCGGAGGGTTTGTTGCTACCTGTTCGAAAATCTGACCGTTATGTATGGTATATCTAAATAATTTCTTTGTGTTTGTTAAAACATTTGAAACAAGTCTTTTAAAACCATCTACAAAATTTCCTGTTTCACCTAATGTTCTTGCAGCATTTACAAGCTCACCCATTCCCGCTTTTGACCCCAAAAACGTCCATATTGCATTTATTTCACTCTGTATAGTTGTCCATTCAGCAAAATTAATTCCTGCATTCGCTAAGCTGAAAATGAAATTCAGTGGATCGAACTTAATTCCACCTTCTTTTTCAATTTCAACGAACTCACTAACATGAGATTTTAAATATTCTTTCGTTAAAATTGTTTTCCCCGATGTTATGTCATTAACGAAACTATCACCGTCAAAAGTTAACGAATTCAATTTCGTCGTTGATGCTTTTATTTCATACACCGCTTTATTGATAGTTTTTGGCTCACCTTCTTTAGAAGCATATGAAACATTAATGAATGAATTATATGTATTCATGAATGAGTTAAAATCAATGATTTTCATTAATGACGCCTTTAATGATTCATTTACTGTCGAATCCCTTAAAGCAATTAATGAACTGTCATTTATGAAAGGTACACTGCAAACCGTCGAGTTTGGATCAAATCCTGTAGTTGGTGCAGGAATATTAATGATATAAGTCATTAAATCATTAAGTGACGTAAATAATGTTGTCGTTTTTGATTTAATTTCTTTAGCATCTGTTATATATGGTAATTTTCATTTCTGTAGTTTCTGAATTAAAGATATTCGCTAAAATGTTTTGTAAACTGTTTTGAACAGCTGTGTAAACCGTTGAATCCGGAACTCTTACGATTTCACCGTCCTTAATAAAAGGCATTGCACATGGTGTAGTGCTTGGATCGAATCTTTTTGGGTTATGATTCAACATATATTCTAATGCTTCATGAACAGACTTATATACTGTTGTGTCGTTCTTCATGACAACTTCACCATTTACAATGAATGGCATAGTGCATGGAGTTAAAATAGGGTCAAACTTTTCATAGTCCTTCCATGTTATGTATTTCTCGGTATTTCCATCACTGATAACAATATATTTGTCAGTAAGTGTGAGAGAGTATTGACCAAAATATAAACGTTTAGCTCTGTCAGCTTCATACGCATATGCAGCTATACTCATATTTTAATGAGAATAAAATGTTGTTCTATTTGCAAAGTACAGACCCAAACGAATACGGGACAGTAAAACTACAAACAAACTTAGGTCTACAGAATGAGCCACTTGCATTCAGAATGGTTGACTTCAATACTATCGCTTCATTCGTTATAACTGATGAAACAGATTTCATGGAGTTTGAAATAGATGGAAAGAAGCATGAAATAAGATTTCACAATAATGTAGAATATAAGATGGAAACATTAGCTGGAGTGTTAAATGCTCTCATAAGTACTACAATAAACAAGGATAACGAAGAAAACTTAATGAATGTTAAACTTATTGCAGGAGTTTTGAAGTTCAGTTATGCGAAGGAGTTTAAGATACCAAGAATGAGTCATAGAGTACAACTTCTTTTGGGTGCATACCATATGACATTTCCTTTGAAAAGTGTTGACAAAACGATTGAGATGAAATCTGTTCCATACGTATGTTATGGTAATTGTTTGTACATTGAGTCTAAAATAGCTAATGTCACAGGTATTTCAGGAGTTAATAGTAAAGGTTCAGTAGAATATAAGTCTTTCTGTTATAGTCAATTCAATGTTCATTCCAAACGTTCCTGTCATAGCAACTCATTTAGGTAAATGGGTTCGCATTAGTCCTCATAATTTGAAAGACATGCAATTCAGACTTGTTGACTTTCAAGGAGAGCCTGTAGAACTGAAGGCACCAGTGCGAATGACTGTTGAAGTTGACTTTTTAGAAAATATTAAATGCAACAGCTTACAAGAGAACTCAGAGCTAAAAATATAAAGTATGAATGTTATGTATTAGGTCATGAACTTTGGTTGTTGCTGTTTGATGAAACAAATGAGTTAGTTATGTCAGTCAAGAGAACAGAAAAATATTGTGTTAGTGAAAACTGCACCAAGTCAATAAGATTAGGTTTGCATTATGAAGATGAGTTCGATACTGTTGAAGAAGTTTTGGATAGATATTACAAATTGCTAACTTGAAATTTTTTTGACTGACGGCGCAAAGCGCCAAGATGGGCTCAAAGAGCCCTCCTGACTGCTTTAATTTACTAAAACATATTTCAAACAAAGTTTATATTCTGTTGAAAGTTTTGTATATTCGTTCGAATATTTATACTTAAACTCAACTCCTGTAGTTCCTGGTGTTTCAATGATGCGGATGTTACCTATTTTCATGAATGGTGGCGTTTGACCACAGCATTCGATTTCAGGGTCGAGATAGTCAATGACACATTTTCCTGTTATTCGTGATATATTTTCAAGGTCCTCCTTTGTTAGAATTATTTGGTTCTTACTTATAAGATTTGTCAAAAGCTTCTTATCGTCTTTGAGTAAAATTGTTTGGTATAACTGAAGAAGGTAATGGTCTACGTTATCTGAAGGATTTGTTTGAACATTTGTGTAAGGGTTGTCGTTGGCTTCTCTTGAAAGAATTTGGTCCAGTGGTGGATACTCTAACTTAACATCTGATGTAGCGTTAGCGTTTGAAGCTGTGTTTAAATTCACGGATTTCAGCTCTAAGTTCTTTCTTTTTCTTTCAAACACTCTGAACTATAGTTCTTTATGACAATATTGTTTGTCGTTCGTGAGTCAACATTTGATGTTGGTTCAATTGGAACATTAACGGCACCAGCTAAGATGGATTTGCTTCTCATTTCATATAGAATAAAAACCTTTTATATGTATGAAATGAACAATATACTCGACAAGGGTTTGAATGTAAAGCTAACGAATGAAAATATTGTTGAATTCACTGAGACAGGAGCTGTGTATAAAGATGTAGAACTACTGAACAAAAGAGCTAAGGGAAGAAGCAGGAACATGAACAAAGGGTGGAAGCCTATAAAAATTTATGTCAATGATGGCTCAGGAGGTTCAAACATAAAGTATGCAGAAAGTTATAGAGTTTATGCTCTCAAAGGTGAAAAGCCTTCATTTAAGAACAGCTATTCTAACGCATATCCTCAAAAGCTAACGGATGGGAAGTGGATGATATGAATGACAGCAAAAATATTAACAGAAATGGCGACAGAGATGCATGGAATTTGTTTACCATCAGTCAATTGAAGGTTAAACTTTAAAACAATGTTGGTCGTTCCCATGGAATATTTTTGACTTTAATGGTATTAGTCATGATATGAATCTCAAGGTATGAACGAGGAGAGATGAGAGACTTATATGCTTCCCAAATTTCTTCAAAAGGTAATGTTATACCTGACTGTTTCCAAATGAGTTCAATATCATAGCGTGAGAAACCTTGAAAGATAACGAAGTCAGTTATGAGACGTTTTATGTTTAAAGCTAAAAACCTCCATGTTTGCATAAGTATTGCTACAGTTAAGTGGTAATGTCTGACTTTAGTAATGATGTTAGCTAATGGTGAGTCAGGCTTTGAAACTAAACCTTTTCCGGCGAAGTCGTCGCAAACTAACAAAGTATTTGAAGGATATTTTTTGAAGGGGTATTTTGAAAGTTTTGACAGAATGTAGTTTGTAAGTCGTTTCATATCGTAAACTCCTGAGTATTGACGTAAGTGGTGTTTGTCAATAATTCTTTCCATCTCCTCAGAAGTCTTTTGCATTCCTGACTGTATAAATTCAACGATGGCATAATATTTCCTCTTACGTCGAATGTAACGTTGAAGAAATTCAATGAGTTCACTGTCTGGAACTTTAACGACAGAGGCTTGAACTTTTGACATAAATGTTTTCGCTGTTGAATCCATAGAGTCTGAAGTTGCTGATATAATGATTTGGTCATAGTAAGAGTCGTTTCCTAAACGTTCTGTTATGAGTATATGACGAATGAGGTTAAATGTCTTACCTGAACCCATCTTTCCACAATAGAAATAAACGCCATTTGAACAGAACTCATAGTCCTTACTGAAAGGAAGAATGAGAGAAGAGTTAAGTTTGTCTGGAGTTTCATTCATGTCTTCATCTACGTCATGTATTAAATGCTTCATTTTATCTCCATTAAAAATGCAAGTCAGAAATATTCAGAACATAGCACCGAGTCTAACTGACAAGAGTATAAAGATATACTATGAACATGTTATGATGAAACCTACCAAAATTCAAGAAAGTCAGTATACTTATGAATATCCAAGACACTGGGTAGAGTATGTAGGAGGTGAGAAAGCTATTGAAATCAGACAGGTTCGAAGTATTCCAGCAGGAAGAACAATATTATTGAAGAACTTTAATGTTTTGAGATATAATGATGAAACAAAGAAGCAAGATAGTTTCCCTGTTGCTGTGTATGTGAACTTAGATACAGGAGATGACATGAAAGTTTTTAATACAAAGCTTCAAACGGTAGTGAGAGAACAACTGACTGCGGAAGGACATCCATTGCCTTCAGAAGTTACCATAGCATATAATTTTGAAACAAACTCAATAGATTTTAAAGTCATCTCTGCAAAGAAGTCAGGTTTTACATTTAATGAAGCAGATGTATATTCGAATGAAAACTTCAAAGCTATTGCATGGTTAGATAATGACGATTGCTTTAAGAAAATATTTAAATACAGTGACTCAACGATGTCAATAGATGACCTTCGTGGAATGTTACCATCGACGTTTACAGTAGAAGGTTCAGCAGGATTGCTTACAAGATTGTCAATTGGTGGCATTTGGTCTCGTGAGAACATTGTTATAAAATCCAGTATAAGTGAATTTGCTGAAGAATCTATATTATGTCTTTCAAACTACATGTATTCGCCGCCGAAGCATTATAGTATAACAAACTTTGTCAGTAAGTTTAACATAAGACTTGTCGAACCTTCTTCAATGAAAGAT